ACGCCCCGCCCCCCCCCCCTCCCACCCCCTCACACACACACCCACACACCACACACACACACACACACACACACACACACAAATAAAAGTCAAAATAATTCTTAAAAGTATAAAACAAAATATATGAAAGAGTAGTTTGTCACTTTAAACTTAAAATCTATTAAGTTAAAAAGTTTAAATGTCATTTTACCACACTTTTAAAAAGACTTAATCTTTTATGTGGTAATAAATACTAGATATATGATAGTATTCATGGCCTCAGTTTTAGGAAGCATACTCATCTGTGTAGAAGAAATTTTTTCCTTCACATTTTAATACTCAATTTATTTAAAAAGATGTTTTTCTACACTGGTTGCATGGGATTAGATTGTTATTTGCATTTTATTTTTCCTTTTATTGAAAAGGAAATAGCTTTTATATATTCTTATTACAGTCTCCTCTCCCTCTACCTCTCCCAATTCCTCCCTACTTCCCCTCTTATCTGGATCCGCTCCATTTCTGTCTTTCATTAGAAAACAAACTGTCTTCTAAGGGCTAATAATAAAATAAAGTAAGGCAAAACAAAACCTAACACAATGGAATAGGACAAAACAAATAAACAAAAGGAAAAGAGCCAAAGAAAAGGATATAGAAGCAGAGACCCATTTGTTAGCACACTCAGGAATCCCATAACGACACTAAACTTGAAGCCATAACATATGTACAAAGGACCTGCAGGGAAAAAAGAGAGTTAAAACCATGAATTAATAAACAAATAAAAATAACACACAATTTAGAACTAGAAGGAAAAGTGTTTGACATGACATTAGGAGACAAGGAACTTCCAAAGATACCGCCGAGTTTATTTTCTGTTGGCCATCTACTGCTGGGCATGCAGCCTACCCTTATTAGTAGTTTCTTTCCCCAGAGACTCCCTTGGAGGAAACTAATTTGTCATTTGCAGGTGGTGTTTCATTTAGAGTTTGCTTCTGGGTTAGGGATAGAGGCATGGGTCCACTTTTTTTTTCAGCTCTAGGACACCATCTGATGAAGACCTGTGCAGGCCCAGTGCATAATGCCTTGGTCTCTGTGAGTTCCTTTGTGCATAACCATATTGTTTAGAGGGCTTTGTTTTCGTGCTTATCTCCCTCCCTTCTGGATCTTACACTATTTCTGCCTCCTCCTCTGTAGGGTTCCCTGAGCTCTAAGGGGAGTTAATTGACAGACATACCCTACTAAGGGCTGAGTGCTCCAAAGTCTGTCTCTGTCTCTGTCTCTGTCTCTGTCTCTGTCTCTGTCTCTCTCTTTCTCTCTCTCTGCCTAATGTCTGGCTGTGGGTCTCCATATTTGTTTGCATCTGCTGCAGAAGGAAGCTTCTCTAAAGATGATTGAGCAATGAGGATGATTGAGCAATGAAGATGATTGAGCAAGGCACTGGTCTGTGGGTACAAGAAAATGTCATTAGGAGTCATTCTACTGTGATGTAATTATTATTTTTAGAACAGCAGTATTACATATAATTAGCCATTCTGATGGGAATAAGATGAAATCTCAAAACAGTTCTGATTTACATTTCCCTGCTTACTAAGGTTGTTGAATATTTTTAAATTAACTTTTATTTAAATTAAAAATAATCTTATTTTACATACCAATCCTAGTTCTCTCTCCCTGCCATCCTCCCACTCCCCTTACCATCTCATCTCCCCATCCCACGCCCCATTCACTCCTCAGGGAGGATGAGGCCTCCCATGGGGAACATCAAAGTCTTTCACATCATTTGCGGCAGGACTGAGTGAGATCCTCCTCTCTGAGTGTAAGGACAAATATTTAGAGCGTAT